TCTAATCCTGGCTCTATCACTTACTGTCTTTGTGACCATGTGCAGATCATTTCCCTTAAGTCTCCATTTTTTTCATCTGTAAAATGGGGATGATAATAGTACTCATTTTATGGGGTTATGAGGATTAAATAAGTTCATAGATGTAAAGCATTAGAAAATGGCCTGGTACATAGTGTTATATTAGTATACTATTATTGTACTCAAATTTTGTTCTGAGCTCTACAGTCAGATCTCATATTCTCTGAATTCTGAGGGTTGATTTGTTTGATCCTGCAAGCCTGAACTTTTTTGAAATGGTTGTGGTCTCACTTCCCATGTCCTCATATAGCTTTGGGTTTCAGAGCTCTTTAATATTTCATCTGATAGAGTTGCTTGAAGACAAACATTTTAATGTTCTCTTCATTATAAAAGAATTAGTGCTCATTGAAGGCAGTTTGGAAAATACAGAAAAAGTAAAAGGAAAAACATCTTACCATGCAAATACATCTTCTAACTTCTTAGTACATTTCCTCCCCCTGACCGTATAATAGATGTAAGCATGTCATATGTTTTTTGTATTTTGTTTTTAACTTAATATGATATTAGGAATTTTAAGCTATACAGACTGTGTTTTTTAAAAACTACTTTAATGGTTTTATAACATTGCATGAATCATCTATAGTTAATCATTTTCCAGTTATTGACCTTTTAGTTAATCACCTTTTCACTGTTCCTAATCATACTCTGTTGAGCTTCTTTCTATTTAAAGTTTTTTCAGAATTTATCATTATTTACTAAGGATAAAATTCCAAAGCTGAATTCTTAGGTGGAAGCTATAAACATTTTTAAGACCTGGAAATTATTTTTAATGATAGATATGACCAAAATAATGGAGATAGGTTTGTTATTTTGTCTTTTGTAATAATCCTATCACTCTTTTTTCTTCATGCTCTGAATAATAGCTTGACTTTAAAAAAATTTTTTTTTTGCAAAGTTCACGTCAAACTTGAATTTTAGCTTTTTGATCTTGTTTTAATAAGTTCTTGGTGCCCAAATTTGTTCTGGATTATATATTCCTTCCATCTTTTGTAAATGTTCTATTAAAATATGAGTTTCTGTGTAGACTATACTGTTTTCTTTTGATCCTTCTTAAATGCCGCAGCTGTTTAGCTTTAGTGTAGGGAAAACTGAGGAGGGGACCCTTGCTCGTTCTTCTGTTTCAAATCTTGCTGTTTTTTCCTCTAGCAATATTTTTTTCAGGCACACTTACTTGACTGGTACATTATAACTCTGGATTAGGTTCTAACCATCTGTTGCCTAGATTATTTCAGCAAAATCGCGCTTTAGCTGGCTGCATTCTTTCCAGCTTTTGAAAAATTCCTTTCACAGTAACAATCATATTTTATAGGTTGAAATGGAATCTTGTAACCTGATACTTTTTGAAAAACCTTTCCTCTTTTTATTTCTTTTCTAAACATTAACAGAAAACTTTAGGAATTCTACAAGGTTAGACTCTTAATTTAAATCCATGGCTTAGACATTGAATTTTTTTTTTTCCTTTTTGTCTTTTTTCGTGACCAGTAACGGGATCGCAACCCTCGGTGTCGCGCCCGTACCGCAACCGGCAACGGGATTGCAACCCTTGGTGTCGTGTCCGCACTGCGCTCAACCAGTGAGTGGACCGGTCTCTATATGGGATCCGAACCCTTGGTGAGATCGCCGCCGCGCTCCCAAGCTCTGCACTCTACCGAGTGCGCCACCGGGCCTGCCCCACAAGGTTAGACTCTTAATTTAAATCCATGGCTTAGACACTGAATATTTTATCTTAAATATTTTTATTCATAAAGTGGGTTTTGACTTTAGTGTATCTTAAATTAAAACCATGTGTTTTTTGTTAAGCAAATATATAAACAGTAGCACTACATGAGATTTCAAATGCCTATTTATTTCAAAATTTTATTTATCCAAATGGGAGGAGAACCTAGGCATGTTCCTTTTAGCACTGCCAACCTTCATCTTATCTGTGTGCTATGTTCAGAGCACTCATGCTATAAAGCTTGCAAATTTTGTATAATTGTATGTTCATTTTCATGTGTATATATTTTACAACTGTGTCTGTATTTCATTTATTTAAGATCTGGACGTTGGTAGTTGGCTATGTGTTGACTGTTTCATTCAAGTGGAATGCAAGCACTGAACACTACTTGAGAGTAGTTTCAATTCCTGTCTGGACTATATTGCTTTTTCATTTAGGTGGGTCCCTTCTTTTTTTTGTTTAAAAAAAAAAAAAAAAGTCTAATTTAAGGTCAGCAGAGGCTGACAGTGTGAATGGAAGTGAATTCTTTGTAGTGTTATTTGTTGCATTTAAAATTCTTTAAAATAATCTTTAGAAAGTTATGCATTGATCTTTAATGAAAATAATATGCTTTAAAATGCCTGTTTTTAATTACATCATATGTTCATTTTCAAAAAAGTCCTTTGAAAGTTAAAAGATCTTAAAAAGCAGAGCACACTTGGACTATCACGGTCATTTCCGAGTGTCATATTGAGGATATAGATAAGCAGCTGAAGATAAGAGGTGCTCAAAATCATGTGTGAGAAACAGTTAAAGGAACTAGAGAAGATGTTTACTCTGGATTATAGGAGGGTACTAGGGCTCTAGCGGCGGAGAGGAAGTAAGTGGAGGTAAGAAGATACAAAGTATGAGAGCCTACTTCTAGTGTTTGTACTATCCTGTGAAAGTGGTTTAAACAGATCTCAGTAACCACGAGGGAGAGATGTCACAGCATTGAGTAACTTCAGAGAGACAAATCTCTGGGCAAAGGATGATCCATGTCACAGCTGCTCGGAGTTCCCTGTTATGTGAAATTATTCACTGTTAGGCTGGGTGCCTGCTAGGATGTTGTTGAGTGATTTTTTTTTAGCATGATACATATAGTTGGGACTCTTATTTACAAGTCTGAGTCGATGGAAACATTAAGTTGTAATTAATAAACAAAATTCAGTAACCCAGAG